CTCTGCACTTCTGTCCTTCCATACTTTATTTTTCTGGCTAATATAACACAGATTTAAAAATAGGGGTATATTACCCTCTCAAAATACATACAGCTCTGGTACCAGCAGTGGAATAAGCTCATTTAGATGAAAGGAACTATTTTCTTTTGGTGGAGTGAAATACCTTATCTGCCTCTCTTTGGATTATGTGCAAGTGTTATGCCTCCTACTATATACAGGGCTGATGTTGCACGCAAGTCATCTGCCCAGTGTATTTTTGGTATGTTGTTGGAAAATATTTCCCTTAATAATTCTACAGTGTATGCCATTGCATGGATCACAAAAGGAAAAAGCTGCATTATTGAAATACAAGTACAGAGGGTTTTAAAATGTACTCAGCTAATGTATGAAACTTAATGGCTATCTCTGTCTGTAACTGGGAGGGAGAGAAAAGTTGTATCATCTGGATCACCTCTTGTTTAGTCTTCACTGGTGTCAGAGTGACCAGAATACTTTACCAGCGCGGTTTCCCAGTGAGATGTATACCCCAATCCCAGTACTATACTTCAGGTAAAACAGCCGATAGTGCAGTGTAGAAAGTGTGTTTGGAAAGGAAGAAAATGTGCTCCCTTCACGTGGCAAAACGATTTAAAGCGAATGGATTCATCAGTGGCATAGTTAATTCAATAGCAGAAAGTAATTTTAGGATATCTTGCATATAGGAAAGTTGGCATGAAATTAGACTGAAAACTGATAAAATCTGCAACTCCTCTAATTCTTTTTCTTTCATAAACTGGACAAACAGTTCCTCAAACTTTTAAGTGAAGTTATTTTTCTGCTGCAGTTCAGTTGTGTAATACCCACACATCACATTAAAAAAATAGAAAATGGTACAGTAACGCTTTATTTTGTTCCAGAGAAAACAACATTGTCATGTAATTGCTTTTTTCTGAGCTCTTTCGCTTGACCCTGGCTGCTTATTATAATGTTTTAGGTGCCATAGCTTAGGGTTTATCGACCCCTGTTCGTTGCCCATTTGTTTTATAGTTACCGAGTATTGTAAGGCTTGGAAAGATTAGTGTAAAAATTATAATTTGGTCCTGTTCATTAGAAATGGATGTGGAAAAAGCGTTAGCAGTAAATGTCGTCTTTTTCAGCTTTTATTATAAAAGCCTAAAGGGCTGCAGTACCTCAAGCAGCTCGGTCTTAACTCGTTCGGTTCTGGAAACTGTGACTTCGCCTGGGCCAGGCTGAGGGTGCTCCTTTAACAGAGTGCCCGATTCAGAGCAGCATCACATCTCACGGCAGCCACCACCTCCTGGTGCTGTCATACTATTTTGTAATAAAGTTGCTACCATTATTTTTCCTCCTGGGTTTACACAGACCAGTAGATGACCTGCGGTCCATAAGCCAGGTGGTCAAGCTTGGTTGCATGCAGCTTGGAAGAGACTGACCGCAAACATTCATATCTTGAGAAGGTCAAAACATTGGAATATTACATATGAATTCAGAATATGAATAATACGGTGTTACATATAAAGTAAAAATGGATGTAGTAATCAAAATTCTTTTACTGAGTGAAATGAATGTGAAGAATCAAAATATGGGATAGACCTTTATAGTTTTAGTGGTAAGAAGCACCATGGGTGTTTGTGCCTTCTGCCTGCCGCTCGGGTAGGGACGCAGTGGAATGTAACTCGCGAGACTACTTCAAGTGCTTTTATCTGAACAGTCATGTTTGAAGAAATCACAGAATCACAGAATGGTCAGGGTTGGAAGGGACCTCTGGAGATCATCTAGTCCAACCCCCCTGCCAGAGCAGGGTCACCTACAGCACGTTGCACAGGACAGCGTCCAGGCGGGTTTTGAATGTCTCCAGAGTGGGAGACTCCACCACCTCTCTGGGCAGCCTGTTCCAGTGCTCCACTACCCTCAAAGTAAAGAAGTTCCTTCTCATGTTAAGATGGAACTTCCTATGTTCAAGTTTATGCCCATTACCCCTCGTCCTATCACTGGGCGCCACTGAAAAAAGACTGCTCCCATCCCCCTGGCATCCTCCCGTTAAGTATTTGTAAGTATTAATAAGATCCTCCCTCAATCTTCTTTTCTCTAGACTAAAGAGACCCAAGTCCCTAAGCCTTTCTCCATAGGAGAGATGTTTCTTTCTTTGAAAGAGAAATCAGGAAGCTCTTTTTACAAGGATTTAATTTTCAGGTGTGAATTACAGAAAGAGAGGGTTTTGCACAGTATGTGAAACCTTCTTCAGTATCTAGCACAAGTGCTCAATCCCTCAGTTCAAGGAAGAGCCTCAATACTAAAAAATGGCTTACTAGCCATTAACTAGCACACAGCATTAAAGGTCTAGCCCACGTATTTTTAGACTGAATGAACTTTAAATTTTAAATTGAATAAATGAATTAATTTTAAAATTTAATTAAAATTTAATTAAAGCAATTTACTCCATGTACTTTAGAAGCTGAGTTTTATCCTTTAATACAAACATAAAAGCATAGAAATAGAATACAGATATAATACTCTCAAATTTATTTTTACCTGAACTCATTAGGCAATACAAGCATTTTTTGCTATCAAAAATGTCCTGTGTATTTTTTTGCTTCTAAGGGAAGTTAAAGAAAGATGAAATGTAGAAAGAAAACTTCCTGGTGTACTTCAGCTAGACTGTGTACTTGAACTCTGAATACATCAAATTATGATGGTACAAAGAAATACTGAAGGGGAAAAAAATTACATACTGTATTTACATGGATTCTAAGAAGTTGTATAGCCTTTTTTATTCTCCTAGTTATACAAAAGAAACTGTGAATTAACTTGATGGCTGCTTGAAAGGATTAATTCAGAAACAATATCTTAGAAGGACTAAAAGCCATGGAATACATTTCTAAAAGCTTCGCAAACTGTAAGAAAAGGTAGCTTCAGATCTATAATTTTAAATGTAAATATTTATTTTAAATTCAGAAGATGCTAGGCTGCTAGTTGCATTTTGTTTCATTTAATTGAAAATTTCAGTAGATAGATAGTTTTGTAACTTTTCTTTGCTTGATAAACTGCACAGTAGTGTCCTGAACTGCCAGGTTTTGGTTGTGGACTATTACCCACTAATTCAAATGAACAAGTTTACTGTGTCGAGGAAAATGAATCTGTACTTCCACCTTCACTTGGCAGGTCATCCTGCAATTATTACGGAGACGGTTCTCTACTTTTAGCCCTTTTATTTTAGCATGTCCCCAGCAACTGAAGACACACAGTGAATGGTTCATTTTTTTTTCCCGTCAACATACACCTTCTTTGTGTTTGAAACACCACTGTAGTTAGTCAAGCGTATTGTACTTTGCAGATCCTAATTTTTACAGTACCCTGTAAACAGGGGTAGTACGTCTTAACAGTGGAGGTGCAGAAGACCTTAGTGGAACGTCTAGTAGTAGTTGTATTTCTAGTCATCCACTAAAGATGCATTAAGCCCCAATTCTGTGGTTACCCTATGCAATTTCAAGTTACCAGAGGTGGCCCTGTATGACAGCTTTGCACGTTGTTTGCAAGGAGAGCTGAAGAAATGACTGTCTGATAGGATTTCTCTGTATCTTTCCCTCACTTCTTCTGTTTATACCTCTTCTTTTTTTCAGCTAAGGCGGGAAATGTAATTAGTGTATAATGACAGTTACAGCAGCCCTAGAAACATGAGATTGATTCCCATGACGGCTGAAAACCCCTCCATGCAGTATGTATAAACAGGCCCAGTTTCCGAGTTCTAATTAACTTTATTAATGTTTAGTGCAGGAAGTACGAAGGCAACTTAAACAAGGATATAAAAAGCACTGGAGCATTGAAACACTGGTTTCATGTAACTGACTCTTATTGAAGGACATATTTTTCAGCATTTTGTAAAGAAAAATAGAGTAATTTAGAAGAAAGATATTAGATACCTAATACACTCTTATAATAAGGAAGCTTTAAATAACGGAGCAAAGATACTAACAGTAGCTTCCTACTTGGTAACATAGGTAGCAATTCTTTATGATGTGCAATTAATAAATACGATAGCAAACATGTAACAATGTACAATGACAGTGAGATAACAGAGATGCAATTATGTGCAAGATTCCTATTGTGCCAGCAAATAAGACTTTACGGGCTACTGGAAAATGAGTTTGTGAAAAACCAATTGTAAAAATCTTTTCCATTACATGTTCCTTTTATAGAAACATATTAACTCACATGTGAAAAGATAAAAAATTACACTGGTAAATAGCTGTGAAGACATTTTCCCCCACTATGGACACAATTGCAAAACCTTGCAATCACAGAAATTGTATATATTATTTTGACATAATAATCATAACTAAGTTTAACAGCAGCGATATATTAATCACACATAAAGTATATTATTTGCATAGATTTTTTTGTTTACTGTCCATGGATTTCCATTTTGTAAATCCATATATAATTCAGCAAGCTTTGGTGCTCTTTGATGAACTCAAACTGGAACATGGCTGATTTATATGACACGTATTTCCTATTACTATAATTGCAAAGGATGCTATGATAATACTCTTCAGGTGCTAAAACCTCTTAAGTAAAGCAACTGCAGTAGAAAATATAAGAATACCCATTCTGTTATTTACCGACCCTTATTCCCAGGCATGATGATTTAACAATATTGAAAAGATATTCCTATTTTGAGAAGCTTTCAAAGCATGTAGTCAGCAGTTTTGTCCACTAAAAGGACTGCGTCTTGGAATAATTCAGTATCTGTTTCTTCTGATATTTTTGGTATGCTCAGTAGGTAAAAACATGTAACAAAAATCATCTTTCAGTTACGCAAAACTATAGTATCATTTTGTACAGTCTTGCAAACAAACAGTTTTGAAATAGAATATTCAACCATAGAGAAGTTGGGAACTCAGAAGTATATAATGTCAATAATAGAAAATTAGTGTATCTTTAAAGATGTAGGCTACTAGAGCTTGTTTTTAAGCTTTGATTTAATCCTTTATATGATTATTCTATAGTGCTCGCAGTCTCGCCAGGAGAGCTTCTACTTCTGGAATGGCTTCTCCTTTAGAAGGGGACCCAATACGATCTATTTTCTTTTCTTTGTTGCCTTCTCCATGACAGGTTTCCTTTCTCCCAACACCCTTGTTCCACGCCGTAGAAGAACTTGTTTCCACATCATAAGTAACCTCTTTGGTGACTGGGCTTTTTGTCAAGTTTAAACTGATACTGTGGTGTGAACACGACTTCTCTAGTTGTCCTTTCTGGTTCTCTGCAGAAGATAAAACAAATAAACCTTGTTTCACTATTAAAATACTCAGTTTTAATACCTTGTAATATAAAAAGACCTCTTGATCAGACAAAATTTTACACACAGGTGATGTACTGGAAGGAGTAATGATTGGCAAGGAAGCAAGACAAAAAATACTATCACTTCAAAAGCAGTGGGCTTGGTCCCTTGGAAGCGATACAGAGTTTACATGACTTCATTAGATTAGCATCCATATTTCCTACAAAATCACAGATAGAGCCTGACAGGATCCTCCTTTCTTGCTGGAGTCAAAGAGAAAACAGAGCACTCAGCAATTCTCAGCGTCTTCCAAAGTTTTATCTGGTTAATTAAATTTTCTACTTATTTTTTTAATTGTTCAAATTTTAAAATGGATTTTAAAAATCTATTTCAATTTAATTATCCATTGTAATAATTTCTCTTTCTTTTGTGATCTTTTAGGCAGCTAAGTAATTTTCAGAATTTGCATAACTTGTTACTTTTTGCTGAACATCACTGGCATTGACTGTCACAAGAAGTTCTGTTCCACGCAGTTAATATCCAGGAGCTTTGCTGGATTGACATGTATTAATAGACAGTTTTCTTTTTTTTTGTTCCTCCCCCCCCAAATTAAGTGACTGTTCTCAAAACTGGCATGTGAGTGGTCCCTCTCATACATCTCAAACTTTCTGAAAACAGGCGTACTCAATATTCATGTAACCTTGAGCAAGGCTTGAAAATGGCTTCAACAAACTTGACATGACATTTAAAGTTTTTTGGTTATTCGCTGAAAGATGTTCCATCATCCCAATAGTAATGACTTTGGAGCACAGGCAGTCACTCATGACAGTGTGTTTTATGTGAGTGCTGAAAATTCCTACCGAAAACAGCTTGTACATTAAAAGGCAGCTGCTGAAGATATTTACTGCACTGTCATTCCCTGACCACGGGCTCTCGGTGATGGATGAGGATTTTACACACTTTCTTGGACAATCTCAGCAAATTTTCTAAGTACTATCACCTTTTGGCAAGTGGAGGAAAATACATACCTTCTTTCTATCATCAGGTAAATCAGATAAACAATTCTTAATTAAAATTTGATAATAGCTGAATTTTGCACTTAGCTGAAAAAATGTAATTTCTGTTTTATACTGTGGAAAATAATTTGACCCTGAAGATGCAGCCGTACACATTTCAATTTTCCTCAATCACAGGATGCCAAAGATTGGGTATGAACACCCATTTATAATTACATAATTTTATAATTACATATATATTTTACTTTACATAACTTTATAATTACATATAATAAACCCACCATACTTAATTAAAATATCCCTGGTATGTACAGTCTTAAATATTCCTTTCTATTTCAATGTTTATATTTATTGATTCTGAACACATATTTTCAGGCTGATAAAAGCATGCTACCTATATCAATATACAAAATAATAGCTGCACTGTAGTCTTTTTTTTTTTTTTAAGGTTCAGTTTAGGGGCAGTGGGAAAAATACTTGGTGTTTTGAAAACCAATACTTTTTTTTTAAGTAGAAAAAAACATATTAACATATAGTCCGAGATTAAGTATAGGTGTTGGACTTTAAAAAAAGGCAAAAATAAATTAGCCACTGAAAGTAAGCTTCTCAAATGTACCAACACCCAGATTTCAACTACTTTGTAGTTCAGTGGACTCTTCACTTAAGCATAAGGAATTAATGAGGTATGATGAACTAGACTGAATAACAGAGGTGGTGAACACTTATGAACTGAGGCCTAAAAGTAAAATCCGCCAATATTTTCCCCAGTTTCTCATAGCGTGTGAGGGGCAGAATAAGGAGACTTAGACTGAGATTTAGAACAGCAAACAGCCTTAGCAGGGAACTCAAACAGCAGCAATCGTGTTGATTTTTGTGACTTTCTAGGCATAGACTAGTAAGTGGAGCATTTGCCTTGAAGGACCAGAGTCTTTCCCTTCAGTCTAAGGGGTCCTGCAACAACGGGAAATGGAATTAGGAAAGTGCCTTAATCCCTGGGCAGTTTTTGTGAGTAGTCCTTGTTTCATCTGTTTTAATTCCTGTGCCCCAAAGATGCCACGATTCACTGGAAAAATCACAAAGTGTCATGATGTTCTTAATACATACTGCTTTACTCTAGTGATTAGTGGCACTTCATGAGTAACAAGAACACTTTTGTCTCAGCCGTACTACAAAAAATACTGAGCAGCTAATGTCAATTAAAAATAAAAAAAGATTTGAACACATATATTTTATCTAAATCCAGTTTTATCATCTCAAAGTTGTTGTTCCAGCTGCTTCCTAAATCAGGTGGCATCTTTACTGTGTATGTTCTTTCAACCAAGGAGGAACATCTCCAGATAGCATTGCTATGCCCAAGTGGATGTCCAGTATTAGCAGACATGTAGGTAGACAGTTCCCTGCTCAGTAAACTGGCTGTTGTGAATCCCCTTCAGAAACACTGGACTTTGCTAGGCCTGGCTCAGAAAGCATATGTACTACTCACAGTCCTATATTTTACTTTATTAAATATGCACTTAAAGAATTAACTGCTCTAACACTTGAGATACATGCTGCTGGTGGCATTCTTCTTATCAGAGTGAAAGATCACTTCCATTTAAGTCAAAGTTTAAAATTAGTTAGGTACTAGGAAGGTCAAAAAGGAGAAAGTCTCACTAATTCCTCAGAAATATTAATGTCTACCCTGCCATTTTATTATTTTTTTTTTTTATATATAAAGCAGGAATTGATTTGTGTTAACCTCAAACTCTTAAACACCTTGCACTGCTTCACACGCTCATTTAAAGCTTGCATGTGTTGGTGATTTGGTACCCGGTCCATTCCATGGTCATGTCTTTAGACTGTTATCGCACCTCTCGTATCCTGTGCTATAGTGGTAAAACTAAAGTGCATTGTCAACCTACAACTGTTGAGGTAGGTGGTTTAACAAAGCCAATGCATCTTGCGTAGAAATTAAAAACTGCAACACTCAAAGCTGCTGCGGGTTAGCATGTAACTTTTGTCAGGCCAGTAGAAGAGCGAGACTTATTTAATTTAGTGTGATAAAGGCTAGAAAGGATATAGTTATTTACTTTCCAGAAAAGCTCCAAGTCAAGATTAACAGACAAAGCCAGTACAAGAATAAACAGCCATTAATATATTTCTATTAGAAATTAAAACCTTTTGAATAATGAAGTTTTGGAATGCACATATATAGAATTGAGAGCAAAAAACCATAACCAGTTATAAGCAGGAATCTGATCTGCTTCTGAAGACAATATTTGATACGGTTGCCTGCAACAGCAAGGAGATGGCTTAGGGACATTGGCCACTGTTTTAATCCTGCGTTTCTAGAACAAGGGACCCACAGAAAATCCACAAACCATACAGATATGAATGGCCTTTTCTAAACTACTTTGAACCATTACATCATCCAGATACATAAATTTGGTTCGTGCTTCTGGCAGTAAAGTATATTTGAAACAAATTGCAGAATAAAATAAATATATTTACACACACACCTTGGATCAAATACACTTTTAAAGAATTTAATACAATAAAGTCATAGAAGGTTAAAAGAAAACTACTAAAGAATTTAATACAATAAAGTCATAGAAGGTTAAAAGAAAACTACTAATGGAAAGTCACTTCTACATGAAGTCTTGTTAACAAGAAAGCTTACATTTCTGGAGGTGCACTATTTGTCCACCTGCTGTAGTAAGGTGTACCTTCCGGCAGTAGCATAACAAAAAGAAATTAGACATTAAGAATCACTGGATAAAGACAGAACTTATTAACTTGTTGTATATATTGGAAGTAGTTGACACAAGTTTCCAATGTTTGGTTACTTTTAGTTATCAAAAGCTTTCATTCACCTATATCATAACAATCAATATGAAGATAAAGAAAAGCAAAAATTTTGAATTCACATTTAAGTTTTCTAAATGCGGGGTTGGGAAGACATCTACTTTGCTTTGACTTTATTGTTACTGAACGGTTCCAGGCATGGGTTAGGCAGAGATTGCATTGTACACTACTAAAGTCTCAGTGTCCAGATTCCATGAGATTTAAATCTTTTCTTTTCCTTCTTCAATATCTAACTCTTGTGGGTCCTTCAGACCTATTAAAATTCAGTTTTTGCAGATATGAATTTCCTGAACATTGCTGTTAATCAAAAACATTTCAAAATCATATTCACATAACCTAGAGCCAAATAGCTACTATCAACTAGATACAAGTCTTTTAAAATTACTTTGATTAACAGCAATGCTCAGGAAATTCAGTTGACAGAAAATTGTGCTTAATAGCTTTCCATAGTTTAAACGGTGTCCTAGCATAGAATAACTTATAATGATATGCTTATAATCTATTAAAGGCTACATTCTTTTATATTCAGAAAAAGGAAATTGTGCACTAGCATGTGAACAAAAAAAAATCAGTAGTATGAGACCTGCCTGCTGTGAACCTGGGGAAACAAAATATAATCAGTTGGAGATTTTTAAATCCTGCATAATATTGTTATATATTACCTTTAACAGAGAATAAAAATGATTGCAGGAGACTCACTAATGTAGAGATACGGATTTTTTTAAAAAATGAGTATTTTTTTTATAAAAGAGACTTTGAAAAGCTTTATTTCATTGCACAGTTTCTTAATAAAAGTCCTGATACTAAGGATATATTTAGTTTTATGTAAATACTTGTACACTGATTGAAAAATAAAGTTGCAAAGACAATAAGGAGAACTGCATTACATGGCATTATATGCTTGTATTACAGTCATACATCTCAATGTGGGGCATGACAAAATCGTAACATAAGAAAGAACAATTGCAGTTACAACCTCATTATATCTTCTACCAAGTTAACAGGGAAAAATGCTCAAAAACCCAGTGGAATATTTCCGATTTCTCTGGCTTGTGCTCCGTGTGCTACATCATATTCCTGAAGCTGTGTCTATGTTAAGATTTTTCTTAAGCCCACACATCC